AACGGTGGCCGCGCTTTGGGCGCTGGTGTTTGCGGGGCCTCCCTCTCGCCGTCCCGCGTGGCAGCCGCTTTCGGGAGCCGCAGGGCAAGGACTGCTGCGGCACGGGGAGGAGCAGGGCCCTTGGGAGCGGTGGCGTTGGCCCACGCTGGGGATCCGCTCTGCGGTCCCGGGAAGCTGAGCAAGGAGGGGTGGGAAGCAGCTGCTACAATGCAAGCAGCGCAAACTCCTGTGGCCCTCCGGTACCTCTCTGCTTCCCCAATCTGCAGTCCTGGGAATCACGAGAACGGGGGTGGATGTTAGCGAGCTGGGGCTTGAAGCTGTAGTGGGGAGCTCAGTCCCATGTGCAGCCCTGTCCTCCCCGACCCTCCCTGCGTCCCGGGCAGGAGCGGTTTGCGGGATGCCCTTGCAAGGCTGTGTGCTCTGTGCTGTGCCCTAGGAGGCTCGGACGGCTCGAGGCTCTACGACTGCGTCTGGAGGTACAACTCCAGCGTGAACGAGTGGACGGAGGTGTCCCCAATGCTGAAGGCGAGGGAGTACCACAGCTCCACGGTCCTGGACGGGCTGCTCTACGTCATCGCCTCCGACAGCACCGAGCGCTACGACCACTCCCTGGACAGCTGGGAGGCCCTGCAGCCCATGCTCTACCCCATGGACAACTGCTCCACCACGGCGTGCCGCGGCAAGCTGTTCGCCATCGGCTCCCTGGCGGGCAAGGAGACCATGGTGATGCAGTGCTACGACCCCGACAGCGACCTCTGGTCCCTCGTCAACTGCGGCCACCTGCCCCCCTGGTCCTTCGCGCCCAAGACCGTGACGCTCAGCGGCCTCATGTACTTCATCAGGTGAGAGCAGGGCCGCCCGCCCCTGCACCTTCCCCTCCAGGGAGGGTCTGGGCCTCGCGCGGGGACAGCGGCGCCTCGAGCTCCGCCGCCGCGCGCTCCTTCCCCTTGGCCTGTCGTAGCCAGGCCGCGACGACTGCGCTTGGAACGACGTGCAAATGTCTGAATTTAAACCTGCAGGTGGGAAACAAGTGGAGTTACGATCTGGTGTCAGTCAGCAGTTCTACTTTGAAAAGACTTTTCAGGTTCCTTGGCTTCTATTTCAGTCCCTGTTGTCGCTATAAATAATCTTGCAAGCTCTAAGAAAACACTGCTGGGGAGCGCGAGAGCCCTCCGAGCGAGCAGAGATAAGAGGGCTGGCGACGAAGTGACGGGGCGCTATTTTTAAGCACCTTTCCAACGCAGGATTTAACTGCTCCTATGGCTCAAATACTTAAGTTATCCACTTAACTGAAAACAAGCAGGCAGGCATGCAGGGCTGGAGCACTGGTGTGGATATGCAGATACATATCATAAAAGAAACCCCACCTAAAGAAGGTGGTTTCAAAGCATTTATCCTATAGGGATGTTGTTTAGGAATAGGCGATAGGGAGACCCGCGTCTCGCACTTCTCAACCCTGCCCTAGTCTTAGCTGGGGTAGTTTTAAATGCAATGGGTCCCTGAGCAGTTAGTGCTGCGGTAGGTGAGATCTCCCCCTTTGTTTTTGCTTTCTCTCCCCTTTATTCCGATTCATGTGGGGCATCTGGAGCACTATCTTGCCTTCAGCACAGTGAAAGCCAATGCATGAAATGATAAAAGACCAGAGAAAACATTTGAATGTGATGGGGTTTGTTTTTCTCATATATATCATAACCTAGATCTTTCATAAAATGAACTTGCGGCTGTAGACCAGTTGCCTCAAGAAGAAGTCCGGTGACTCTTGAAGTCAGTCCAATTAACTAAAGAACTGGAAAAATGAGGTTGTACGAACTGAATTTCAGAGGCCAAATCCGTTAAAATGAAAATTCAGATTGATCAGGAGTTGAAGGGTCTTTGCAGCTTCCTGGTTTTCAAGTCTTGTTGCAACCCAGCACGGCCGTCTCGGAGTGACCTTCGGCGCTTGTTCGGCTGCGCCGGCCTCGTCCTTGGCGCATTCCGGCGCCGGCAGCAGCGCGTTTGTGTCGCAAACAGCCCTCACCTGTCGCTGTCTCGCTCCCGTCTCAAGTGAGACAGGTCCAAGGAGCCTGGCGGGACCGCGCTGCTCCGGGGAGCCCTTCCCTGGCCCGGCTAAATTTGGCGCTGGCCGAGACCCGAGGCGGTCGGCGGCGCCTTGGTGCTGGCGGGAGAGGCTCACAGCGCAGCGCGGCTTTGAGGCCGGGCGCTTTTAGAATGTCAAATGACCACCTTGTGCCATCTCCCGCAGGGATGACTCTGCTGAAGTGGATGTTTACAACCCAGTGAAGAACGAGTGGGATAAAATCCCTGCCATGCTTCAGGTAGGTTGCTTAGCCAGCCTCCTGGATGCCTCTTGTTGTAAAAAGTTGGCCCCAAATGGTGGCTTTGGCAAGCAGCAAACGTGGAGCGTGTTCAGACGGGGGCGGTTGCCCAGCCCCGCTCGGTAACTGCTGTGTTCTCCCTTCTGGAGCGCAGGTTCACGTCGGCGGGAGCGTGGCCGCGCTGGGCGGGAAGCTCTACGTGTCCGGCGGCTACGACAACACGTTTGAGCTCTCGGACGTGCTGGAGGCGTACGACCCCGAGGCGCGCGCGGGGGGCGTCGCGGGCCGCCTGCCCGAGCCCACCTTCTGGCACGGCAGCGTCAGCATTTTCCGGCAGTTCATGCCGGAGACCACCCAGGAGGAGGACGGCATCGCGCTGGACAACACCATCAACCTGAACCGGCAGCGCCAGGACCTTCGTGACCAGAACCTCAACGAGCTGCATTAGCGGGGAACGCGCCCCGCGCGCAGCACCGGTGCTGCTCCGGAGGAGGAAACTGGTGCTTGGAGACAAACACGTACTGAGCGGGGCAGAGGGAGGAGAACGGGAGCGCGCGAGGCGCCCTCGGAGACGCGGGGTGCAGGGAGCGGGGCCCTCGGGCGCAGCCTCCCCGGCGCCTCTTGCGGAGGCCGCCTGCCGGGTGGCCTCTCA